AGAAGGCATAAAGACAAGGATATATTACTAAGTAAAGAAACAATCAGATATAAACATATCAATACTAAACGAATGGTATCATTAGACAGAATCCTCGTATGGCAATTCATAAACTTTAAAAAAAAGAATCATCTAATATATTCAATTAACTTTTTTTCTATTCGTTATATCATACCTGTGTTCTATAGATGTATTTCTTATTATGAAAAAAATCAGTAATACAATATACAGGAAGCAATAGAAAACCTTTTATATTCATAAAACAAAAGATAGTAAATAATGTAAAAAGAATAGAAGTCATTCTTAGATTGATAAGTATTATGAAGAAAACAAATATTAATTTTTTTCAATGAAAAAATACAAAAATTAAAATTTTATTTTTTTCTTCTTCAGGCTAGCATATGGTTAACAGTTGCATTAGCTGTAGAAAAATGTGTTATTATATGGTTTCCATTAAAAGGTCGTTATTGTTTTACAATGACAATATCAAAATTTGTTCTAATATTTGTTCTTTGTCTTGTTCTTTTCGCTGATATTATTTATCTTTTACCAAGTTTTTTTTCACATACCTATGAAAATATATCTATACATACATTTATGTGTGTATGGCATGGAGGTAGTGAATCATCTAAAAATCGTTATGATCGATGGAAAAAACATTATTTAACATTTAATACAGTTTTTTTTCATTCAATTATACCATCAATAATATTATTAATTGTTAATTGGTTAATATTATATAGTTTATCACGCTCACGAAGTATTCTATCAAAAATTGGTTCAATTGATGCAAAAAATGTTATGAAACGTGAAAAACAATTTAAAGAAAAAACTATTCAACTTGTACTATCATCATTTTTTGTTATTGTTACAATATCTCCAAGATATGTATTAACAATGGTAAATGCATTTGCAACTAATATTAGTAAAACACCTTTAATGCCATTATATATTTATGTTAATTTAAATACGGTATTTCGAGTTCTTGAAATGTGTAATTATTCTTTAAATATTATTTTTGCTATATTAAGGTAAAAATATTCTAACAAAGAAAAATTCATTGATAAATTTTTTTTTCTAGTGGTCGAACATCACGTTTAGAAATTCGTAAAATACTTTGGGAATGTCTTTTTTGGAGATTTAAACGTACACAATCGGATCGTAATGAAGCAAAATATCCTGCACATGCATTTCTTTTTAATGATGATGATGATGATACTGATCGATCAGTTCAATTACAAGGAACAACATATTCAGCATTAACAGTACAATTATCAAGTCGTCATAATAATCTATCGCCTAAATTAAGTAATGGAAATTATTCATTAGAATTATCTCAAACATCAGCTGGTACATCAATATTTACTTGTTGTGGTTATAGTATTGATTTATCACCGAAAACTTCACATACATCATATACAAAATCAGGATTTGAAGAATCATCATCACGTCGTTCAATAGTAAATAAAAATCCTAATCCTTTATTAGCAAAAACTGCTTCATATCCTCAATCATCACCATCATCATTAAATGATCGATTATTAAGAACACAAAAATCTGTTTGTTATCGGACAGATAATACGCCTCGACAAATTACAAAACGTCGAGCTACAACACTTGTAAATTGTTCGCGTAATAGACCTTCATCTATAAATACAACAATAGTTCCACCAATTCCTACATCATTATCAAACGAAAAACTACCACCATCAGCTCCTATTATTGATATACCTTCAGCATCAAACGATGAATGTAAACCAATAATAAATCTAACTGAACCTCCTATGATTATGCAAACTGATTATATTGAACCATTATTACCGGCTTATATAATTGAAACATGTTAATTTTCTTGTATTTTTTTTTATAAAAACCTGTGTACTTTTACATAGTGACTAAAGGAATGATATAAATAGAATGACGAAAAAAACAAATTTGAATTCTGTTTTATGAAAATATATATGCAATCGATTATTATGTTATAAAATCTGTAAAAATAAATATTTTCTTGTTAGATATAAGTTCTCAAAAAAAAATAATGACACCAATCTACCTTGATATATGTTGAAGTTTGCTTTTAAAGAAAAAAAAAACTACGCATTTCAAATGCTCAAGTGGAGATGTTTCTTTTTGTAAGAATAGACTTCGCGTGCAAAGTGCAATACTATTGACATAGAATAATAAAAATGATCAAAAAAACATTTTTGTAATATGTCAATATTTAATTTCGAATCTGACTGAGTCGACGTATTCAGTATTATAATTCTCAAGTTTTATTCCAGGACAATTGAATAAAATAAGCTAAAACTAGTCTTTTCAATTGATGGAAAGAAAAAGAGAGGAAAATAACTATTTCTTTAATAAAAATATAATTAGTATGTAGATTAGTCTATTTGATTAACCATGTCTGAGCGCTTTATTGTCTTTTTGAAAGGTTCATTCGAAAGTCAGGCAATTTCCTTTTTATACTTTACATGAAATGTACCCAGACATACTCTCATTCGGAATAATTTGCGTGTAATGAATGTTAGATTTTAATAGACGAAGAAAATAACAAGAACGTTTCTACTGATTATTATTCAATTATTGATAATAGCAAGTTCTCAATCCCCCTGGAGATTAGAAACATATGGATACAATTATAATTTTTAATTTGTTAATTATATGAGTATTTACATCAAAAAAACAAATATTAATATTAATTTTTTAATAGAAGACTATCTTTTTTATTCCGAACAGCTATACAAAAGTGACAATATGCCTTAGTCTCTTTCAGACTGTTCTAATATTAATGTATCTCTAGGGATAACTGGAATTAAAGTTCAATAAAGTTAATCGTAGATAAGTACCAAGATTTCAAGAGTGGGCGTGAATCATTCAACTGAAATAAATGGCATATTACCTATTTCCGAGACTTGTTTTTGTCCCAAAACCTATTATATTCTATCATTAAACTGAACATGAGAATATAACTTTGAGTAAAACAATCAACTACACATGCAAACAATACCTTTTAATACGGTTCAAATAGTTCTATACTATCGATACATGTACCTAGTTTTTAACAACTAATGTTCCGAAGACAGTTTTTGAAGAATATTGTTTACAATGAACTTTATTATATATAAAAAAAAGCTAAGAATAAAGAAGAATCGAGAAGTTAATTAACTTATTTTTAATCACAACTAAACTAAATCGTTAGACGGTTATATCTTCTTTTTTTTTAAAAATTACAGTCAAATTTTATTTTTTTTCCGAATGTCCTTTTGTTGCATCACCTTCTGTATAAGCACGGCTAACTACTTTGCCTTTATCAACAATTAAATATTCTTCGCGTTGTGGTCGTTCATTAAGCCAATTTCCAAGAATTTCTCTAACACCAGCTGCATAACGTGCTTGTGCATCAAGTGTTGTACCTGAATAATGTGGTGTCATAGCATGTCGTGGCATTGAACGCCATGGATGATCTTTTGCTGCTGGCTATAAATAGAAAAATAAAGATATTCATTTATTTCTCTTTGTTATTTACTTGTGGATACCAAACATCACCAGCATAACCTTCAATATGATTTGATTTAATAGCATCAACTAATGCATCACGATCCATAATTTTCCCACGTGCTGTATTAACAATATAACTACCTTTTTTCATTAAAGATAACATTTTCTTATCAAACATATGTTCAGTTTCGGGATGTAATGGACAATTAATTGTAACAACATCACATACTTTAGCTAATGATTCTACACTTGAATGATATGTTACATTAAGTTCTTTTTCAATAGATTTATCTAAACGAAATTTATCATAATAATGTAAATGAACATCAAATGGTTTAAGACGTTGTAAAACTCGAAGACCAATACGACCGGCAGCAACTGTACCAACATGTTTATTTTCTAAATCATATGCTTTATCAGCTATTTTTGCAATATCCCATTCACCATTAACAACTTGCTAAACAATACATAAATTTAGTAATTAGTTTCACTCACTGAGGTTGTAACTAGCAGATTATAGTTTAATTTTCTTCATTTTAACTTACATTATAAGCTGGAATAAAGTTTCGTACAAGTGCTAATATTTGCATAACAACATGCTCAGCAACACTAACAACATTCGAGCCTGATACTTCAGCTGAACAAAAAAATCATACAAAGAAATTTATTTTCTATTCAATAATTAATCAATCACATACCAACAGTAATTCCTATAATAAACAACAGAATTATTTGATCTATCTATTTTGTATGAATAAAACTCTACCTCGTTTACATGCAGCTTCTAAATTGACATGATCTGAACCGACACCAGCTGTAATAGCTAATTTTAACTTTTTCGCTTTATCAATACGTGTTTGATCAAGATAACATGGCCAAAATGGTTGTGAGATAACAACACTAGCTTCTGGTAATGTCTTTTCAGCAAGAGAATTTTCTCCTTGTTTATCCGATGTAACAACAAGTTTTAAACGATTATCAAGTTTATTTTCTTTAATCCATTCACGTAAACCAAGTGCATTTTCTACACATCCCAAGATATTTTTATTTTTCTTACCAGCTTCACCACCTGTGAAATAAATTAGAAAAAGAAAGCGAGTTAATTCTTCTAATCAAACCTTCATAAAGTACAACTAAAACAGTTTGTTGTCCATTTGTTGATGCATAACGTCTTATCAACGTCGATGAATTACTAGACAACACACCTTTTCTTAATATATGACTGAGCATTATTTATTTTACAATACGAACAGCTCGTCTGACTGACTGACTGATTTTATATACACAATTACTTTTATCTTTATATGTTCGTTATTTTGCTCTATATAGACACCGTTAATGCAAAGAAGAAAAAAATATATATCAAGCCACATGCTCTATCGAGGTAAGTGCATACTGCATATATGTAACTCAATATAGCCTTTCTTTGTATTATCTTATCTATAATTTGATAAACGTTACAAGTAAAATTTAAAAAAAGAAAGAAAGTATTTATCTATCTATAGTAATACGGATAAGTATAAAATGATAACGTTTATATAAATAAACGAAGATTTTGATGTAATATTCATTGTTTCATATTGTACATTTGATAACTGTGTAGTTAATCGATGTCGATATCGATAGAATCGTTTTAAAGATGAACGAGTTGTTGTAGTTTCAAGATAGTTTGCAATACAATATGAACGATCATTTTGTTCAATTCGCTCTAAATTTATTTCACAATATCCATGTTGAATTGATGCATGAAAATAAATCGAACGAAATTGATCTTTTAAATTTTCTTTTTGACAATTATTTTGAATAAAATCATGTAAACAACATAATGTTTCACGAATTTTAACACAACGAAATAATTTATCATCACAATTATATGAATCACAAAGAAGATGTTTATGACATTGATTAGGAATATGATATAAATCTTTATAAATTGTTATATTCGAACAATAACTATAATTAGTTATCGATACATTAATATTGATATCAATTAAATAATATGAATTTGATGGAATAGTTTTAATAATTTTGATTAATGTTAATAAAATAAATAGTATTAAATTTTCTATCATCATCATCATCAGCAAATTATCTAAATAAATTTAAACTTGCATTAAATATACACAAAAAAAAGATACGTATATGATCGAGACTGTTGCAATAAGTATCATTCTACTAAGTAAGAAAGATCATTAACTTTCTTTGAGTATTATATTGATGCGTAACACAGTCATATGATATAGAAAAGAAAAATAATTACCACTCGTACTGTTAACTCAGACAGACTCATTTTTGTGCTCAACGAAGGATAATGCTGACTCAATTACTAACACAATAAAAATGATAATAGTGATGATAACTGAAGGCGTTTATTATCTCATTGAATGATAAACAAACAGTGAAGAATTCTTATTACTTTTCAAATAAGCACGATATTCTTTGGATTATTTCATACTTACATATGAATTAATCGTCTTATAGTATTGATTAATTAGCAAAAAATAAGATACTGTAGTTATGTAAACTATTCGTTTGTCAATAGAGTACAAGTAAATGAATAAGACTAGACTAAACTAGTTCAATAATGAATTTCAAAATGAAAGAATATATATATGTATGGTTGCATATTGACAAAGAAGGAATATAGAATAATAATAAAAAGAAATCTACGTTCGATTTTGTTATGATTTGTATAGACAAGCCATCAATTCTAATGTATTATGGGTGCTTCATCTTCTGTATACAGTTTTAACTTATCGTCTATAATAACAACAGAACAAGATTAAAAATCAGCAATGTATCTGGCGAAGAATCGTATATAAGTTGAATATTCTAATGATTATATAGAAAGAATATATGATTAATATAATTGACATCTGGCGAGTTTACTGCCCTATATATAATGAATAGACATAATGAACGTTTTATCACATTTATATATCTAGGAACGTCTATACAATTGATTAGATATATTCTTTGTTTTATATACATGATTCAGGTATTTCTTAACTACAAAATTTTCTTTTTTGATTTTAGACATACTATGTAAGTATGACAATGAAGAGAAGCTAAGAAATGTAACCTTTACAAAAAGCATACATCGAGAAATACTCATTAAATATTATGTATACATGATAGAAAAATAATTTTAAAATTTCGCTTAAATTAAAGACGGACGAGGAGTGTTTTGATCACCAAAGTAGAAAAAACAGCTTAAAAACAACCAAATAGAGTAAGAAAGGGTGATTTGGCACAATTTTTCTTTTTAGGGATCTTTTTGTAAATGATTATATCTGGATGTGGTAAAAAGGTGGAAACAAAGATTAGTATATGCGTGTAGAGAAATGTTTGCGCTATCGAATGGTATATTTATAAAAAAATGATTTAAAATAGCTCAGTAATTAGGTTTTATTGTTTATCAGTAAAATACATGGGATTGCCAAATCAATCCTTCTTACTCTATTTGATTATTTTTAAACTGTTTTTTCTAATTAGGTGATCATCTCACTCCTTTTGTGGTGATCAAAAGACATTTCTCCTATTAAAGACAATATGCCATTGTATAGTACCACCATCTATGTCTACATTGTTCTATTAACACTGCAATATATAAATTATCATTTGCTTTATTTCTTCAATGAATATTTATTATTTTATACGTTTGAATTCCTTCAACAATCCAATCGATGACATTTTGTTCAATTAAATTTGGTATTTGTTGAAAAAGTTGATAGAGAAAATTTGGTAAACAACAACGAAGTATTGAAAGTTGTTCAAGTGAAATATGTGAAATTAATCTTAGTAAAATACATTCTATCATATTACATATAAATTTTGGTATTTCAATAGTTTGTTGAGTTAGAGAGTTGACATAAGATTGTTTTATCATTTAAAATAAAATGAAAAATTTAAAAATAAAGTTAGTGCGCGTAAAGCACAATTGATTCTGTTGTTTATTTGAGAAAGAAAGAAAAAAACAAACGGGGGAAAAATAATAATGATGTTTTTCTCTCTCGTATCCATATATCAACATAAAAGATGAATAGAAAAAAGAGTGTGGACAAAATGTCTGTATATATTTTACTCTTCTAATAATAATAGACTACAGAGGTACATAGAAAGCAAATAGAGAGAGAAACACTCGAAGAAAAAAGTGAAATATACTAAGAACACTGTTGGCCGGTTCAATATTGTTCGTAGAAATGAGTTTTCCTAACGTTCTGATGCAAGTTTTTCAGCACGAGCAGAAACATCTTCAATACCACCAACCATATAGAAAGCTCCTTCGGGTAAATGATCCAATTCACCTATTATTTAAAATATAAATCAAAAATAAATATTCCATTAATTTAAAAAAAATAATATTTCTTACCGTTTAATACCATTTTAAATCCTTTGATTGTTTCTTTAAGTGGTACTAATTTACCTGGTGTACCGGTGAAAACTTCAGCGACCTTTAAAAAAAAATACATAGTTCAATAATCTTATAAAATTCTATAAAACGAACTTGGAAAGGTTGAGAAAGAAAACGTTGAATTTTACGAGCACGAGCAACAGTTAATTTATCATCATCTGATAATTCATCCATACCCAAGATAGCAATAATATCTTGTAATGATTTATAATCCTAGAATAGAAAAATAAGATTAAAATAATTTGTCGATAAAAATTTGATTATATTTATTTAAATAAAATTTAAAAAAAAATTTAAAAGAAATTTTTATCGTTTTACTTTTGCACATCGACTACACTCATAGGACTATTGAAATAGACAATACAAGCTCTAGCGTGTGCCATACTATATCTACTGAAGTTTAGTTTCTTTTTTAAATATCTTACTTGAAGTGTTTTTTGAATACTACGTGCAACGGAATAATGTTCTTCACCGACAATATTTGGATCAAGAATACGTGATGTTGAATCTAATGGATCGACAGCTGGATAAATACCTAATTCAGCAATACCACGAGATAAGACAGTTGTTGCATCCAAGTGAGCAAATGTTGTAGCTGGAGCTGGATCTGTTAAATCATCAGCAGGTACATAAATAGCCTATTAGAAATAGATTAGTTTTGAACATAAAAAGTTTCTTTCAGTCATACTTGTACTGATGTAATTGAACCTTTTTTGGTTGTTGTAATACGTTCTTGCATAGTACCCATATCAGTGGCTAATGTTGGTTGATAACCGACAGCTGATGGAATACGACCCAATAAAGCTGATACTTCCGAACCAGCTTGTGTAAAACGAAAGATATTATCGATAAAAAGAAGTACATCTTTTCCTTCTTTATCTCGAAAATTTTCAGCAACAGTTAAACCAGTTAAAGCAACACGAGCACGTGCACCGGGTGGTTCATTCATTTGTCCGTAGACAAGTGATACTTTGGAACCGTTGCCTTTAAGATCAATAACTTTTGTTGTTATCATTTCATGATATAAATCATTTCCTTCACGGGTACGTTCACCGACACCGGCAAAAACAGAGTAACCACCATGTGATGTAGCAACGTTGTAAATCAACTCCATGACCAAAACTGTTTTACCGACACCAGCACCACCAAATAAACCAATTTTACCACCTTTAGCATATGGAGCTAATAAATCGACAACTTTAATACCAGTTTCAAGAATTTGTTGTTCGACGTTCATGTCAGTAAATGGTGGTGCATCAGCATGAATGGGTGCATAATCGTCAGCATTAACTGGACCACGTTCATCAATTGGATCACCAATAACATTGATAATACGACCTAATGTTGCTGCACCAACAGGAATTTTAATTGGTGTACCGATATCAGTAACTGGTTGTCCACGTACAAGACCTTCTGTACCATCCATAGCAATTGTTCGAACGGTATTATCACCTGTAATAAAAGAAAAAGAATGAAATCAAATGAAATATGAATTTGATTTTGTACCTAAATGTTGAGCAACTTCAAGAATTAATTTTGGTTGACGACCATCAACTTGAAGTGCATTAAGAAT